AAAATCTCCACCAGGTGGACCTGGATTTTCTAAGATGAATTGGTTTCCCCCAGGCTGTGAAGAAAGATGATACTGTATGGAGGTGATGATTGTTGGGGGGGGGAGTGTGTAGTGTGTGTGGCTGTGTGTGGAAGTAGAAGAGAAGCACAAGTCAGGGGAAAACAGGAGTTTCTAAAAACAGCAAATGGTGCCGATGGGCCAGAGAATCTGTGTCTGAGAGTGATAAGAACTTGAAAACCCAGCTCTGAAAGGGGAGCAGCTACATGCTGAATATGAGCAAGCAGAAAATAACCCCATACACGGGGCAATGTTTAATAAAAAAAGTGCATATACAGATATGAAAACATATTATACTCCTTGAAATAGTGTGTCATTAACTAGCTGACAGTAGTGCCAGGAACCACAGAAAGGCAGAGCGCAAGCTATTCAAGTGGTAAGCAGTTATGGAACCGTAAAGGTCCGCCTGCTCACCGTGACATCATCTCAGGTATTGAGTCTGATTACAAGCAGCGGGGAGGAGAGGACCAAGCATGGATCTTCTGGCGTGCTGCTTCCACTCATACATTTGTTCATTCACTCAACAAACATCGATTATTTTCCTTGTGCCAAAAGACTAGAGGTGAGAATGGAGATCTGAGTAAAGCAGATGCTGGTTTTCAAGGACGCTTCAGTCTCATAGGGAAGACAAACAGGTCCATGTGAGTGTGTGCCTCCCAATGCAGCGGGTGCTGGAAGCAGAGACTGTAGACAGACAGTGCGATGAGGCTGGGAGAGGGGCAGAAGAATACAGCGTCGCAGGCAACAAGGCCACCGAAGGGGGCCTCCTAGGGGCGGGGCTCTTGAGACGCTGAGATGGAATGGAGCAGGAGCCAAGAAAGGAGAGGCCTCAGCGGCCAGGACGGTCGGTCGGGGGCCACTGCGAGCTTTTCTCGAACAAAACATGAAGGAGGGGGTCTTTTTAATTCGCAACGCATTCACAGTTGGTCAAGCTGGACGGCTACCTGGCTGCCTGCCAGGGAAACCCATGTGTGCGTGCCTTTCAGCCTGCGGCGGGGCGCAGTCAGGCGGCAAGTATTTGCTGTGCGCACATTGTGTACACACGCCCTAGCAGGCGCAGGAGGAAGAAAGGCAAGAAGAGAGGAAGCAGGAACTCAAATATTGTGAAAAATGGAGCATTTCGTGTTGAGGGCTGGTTACAATTGTGGCTTCCTCTGACCCACCGTGAGCAGACAATGCAGCTATTGTGGGGGCAGCCAGCTCTGGTCTCATGGCCAGCGCTGCGCCTGCCTGCCTGCCCTGCGCGCCCCTGCGCTGCGGGTCTCACCGCTCATTTGCATAAAACCTCTTGATTGGGATCACTCCGTCCCATTACCTTAATCAAGAGTTATCACAGCATCGAAAGAGCCATTGGAGATTCTGCTTTTGCAGCTGCTCCTCTTCTAACAAAGTGACCGGAAGTCACGGGGGACAAGCAAAATCGGCAGCCTGTGATGTTTCTCTTCTCTACCCAAGAGTTTCCTCTCCTGTGGTACCACTTCTGGGGAGAAAAGAGACATAAGAGAAGGGATCCTGGGAGGCAAGGCCGTGAGCAGAATGGCATTGTTGTCAAGAGTTAAATGACGTCAGTCCTGTTTTTTTTTTTTTGGGGGGGGGACACCAATTATAAATGATTATCTTTCCCTCTCCTGCTGTCCTGACGCTACTCCTCAGTCCACCCAGGTCTCGCATCAGTGTTTAGACAAACAAACCCCACCTTCCTGCCATAGCTTCAGACCACAGCCTATCTTTTTCTTTCCATTCACCACTAGAGATTTTGGAAAAATTATCTCCACTTCCTGGAGTTCATAGAGTATGATTTTGTGTCTATTACTGTCATTAACCAAAAGAAGACACAGGAAAAGGGCCTACTCTTTATGTCTCCCCTCATGGATTTCTTTATATGGAAAAGCAGCACGAGGAAAACATCTTCTGGTGGTGTCTCGAGGTATTTGGGGGCTTCGGTCTTGGAAGCCCTAGAGGTGCCCTTACACAACCAATTAGAATTTCAAGCCTCAAAGGAACAACTTGTGGTGAGACTTTAGCAGCCTGAGTCCCTGTGGCAAGGTGAGTAGGGGTGCTAGTTTAGGAAAACACCCCTTAGACCACGTAATGGAGAAGATAAGTGACACTCAGACAACAAAGACCTGACTTAATTCTTACTTCTATAGCATAAAATCTTGTTTTATTAAGCAAATTGCCTAGAGAGAGATCAAATAGATAATGAGAAAAGTAATGTTATAATACATTAAATTTAAAGTAAAATGCTTTTAACAATTAATCGTATGGAAATGTTGCCATTATGTCTCTTGTCAGTTATACTCCATGTAGGGTTCTGGGTCTCAAGAGGGGCACTGACAAACTGGGGTGATATCAGACCCCTTTGCATGCATCCTTGCTTGTCAGCATCCTAGGCATCCTTACTAACGATCCAGGAAGATGACGCAGGTCTAGAGAGCAGCAGCAGAAGCTGGACCTCTATTCAGTGAAGCGTGTGTCCCCAGACGACAAGGAGTTGGTTTTATATTCCTACTCTCCAATTTAACTCCAGCTGTCACTAAGACAGAGCAACAGAGAATGGATGGAAGAGCTCTTTGAATCTCAAGGAGTCGTTGTTTTGTAAAGAAGAGTCCTTTCCTTTCTAATAAAAGGGAAAACAAGGAAGAGGAAGGCACAGAAAATGATAGGAATATTTCCTGCAACTCAATCAATTGTGGCATGATTTCTTTACATCTTTTACTCAGTGTCCCCTGCCATTCTCAGCCACTCCAAATACCTTTCCTGGGGCCTCACTTAATCTGCTTCTTAAAAATGTCTTTTTCTACATTGTTTATTTCTCCGATAAGAATTTCAGTGGCCAGGTACCAATTCACACACACACGCGCGCGCGCACACACACACACACACACACCAACCCCAACACATCAAACATTGATTACATGAACAATGGCAAGTAGAGAGAAGACTAGTACAGTATCTTTATCCAAATGAGAAGATGCTACCTAATTCTCCTTATGGGAAAGGAGTTTGTTGATGGAGGCTCTAAGAACATAGGAGGAAAAGAAAGTGTGGAAACTGAGGACATGAATAGATCTAGAGTACTTTGTGGTCATTTTGATTGAAAAAAAGGGAGGGACATAAATGGTGATAGATAATAGGGGTACTGCCACGATGTTAAGATTTTTGGAGGCAAGGACCACACCTGTGTTATTTCACTACATGCATATGCATTTTAACATCTAGAAAATTATCTGGTCTATAGTTTAAACACCACAATTTAGTTTTATTTAACAGGGATTATTACATTCTTATGTGCTCCTTTTTCTAAAGAGCCAGTGATTATTATATTATTATTATTATTATTATTATTATTATTATTATTCCTACTACTATTTTGAGTCTCCCACTTCCCATATCCCATCAGGATCATGGAGATGCAAAACATTTTGGATATTTTCAATGGGAAGGATGTAGGTCTCCTTAGCCTGATCTGCGTGGTTCTAAAAAATTAATTGGCATTTCTAAATCACATCATCCCCTCCTGCAATAAAGGTGGGATTGGTGGCCTTAGTTCACCATGAGCTTGCATACTCTAGCACTTGTTTCCACCCCATCTTCCTCTCATCTCACTTCTGCTTCTCCATCTCCTTTCCTATACTAAATACTGGAGTTTCTAAGGTCTTCATCCTAATCTCACTTGTTCTTTAGCTCCAATCTGTCTTTCTAAAGACCAGGCCATTTGCATGGTTTTGAACACCAAGTAAAATATATGCTGCTGATTCCCAAATACCTGCCTCCAGCCTTGCCCAATGGTAGGTCCAATCCCTTACTTGGTGTTTTTACCTCAATATCTTAGAGGCAAAACACATAGCTTTTAGTAGGTTCAAAATGCAGATTCACTCTCTGGCCTCTCACAGCTACCTCTCCAGCCTCCCATTCAGCCGCGCGCACTGCATGCTGGGCCATCTGACTGTACCTGAGACATGACCCAAGTTTGCTTGTCTTTCACCCTGGAAATTAGAAACAGCACTCCTGTGCTGGGTGCTCTCCCCTCTGCCACTTTGCTTTGTTTTCTGTTTGCTTTTTATCCTTGCTTGCTTTTGTTTTGTTTTCAAGATGTGGTCTCAATAAATTGAGCTAAGAGAGCTGAGTTCATGATCCTTCTCTCTCAGCTTCCAGTGTGCTGGGAGTGCAGGCGTGCCCCACTATGTCAGGTCATTTTGATACATGACATATAGCTACATATCTCTTACTAAAAGTTAATAACCTCTTGACATTTTTCCTAGGATTTTAACATTTATAAAAAAGAGGAAGATGTAAAGTCGTCTTGCTCTCATCCTTTTCTCTTCCTTCTTATTGTGAGAGGTGGGTGCTGCAGGTTCCTGACCCCGCATCCAAGTGTCCCTTTCTTTGGCACACAACCCTGACTTTGTTATGACATTCACACATCTCCTCCAGCCTTTGTCCCAAAGCCCTGACATGCAGAAGCAGAAGCCACTCAACTGTGGCTGGTCATCCAGCAGGGAACAGCAGGCTTCCAGGTTGTCCCTATGTTTGCTGTTCTACCATGTGAGGCTTGCTCTCAGATTGCTGAGGTGGGATTAGAAGAGCCAGGATATATGGATTTTCCTTCACGTGTCAGGGTATGTACTAAATGACATTCTTGTTTGCTCAGTCTTTATTATCTGTCATCTTATTTCACATAGTTGTCTCCTCTTAACTGCAAACATCACATTATAGAAAGAAGGAAACTGGGTTTCTAAATGTCCCCACGACTCTTGGCCAGCACAATAAAACTGGTATTTCTGTTTATAGCTAATCATTTTTGGTTATTGCATTATTACCAATGGTCATGTTTATACTCCATGTTACAAAAGACATACCAGGTCTAATTCTTTAATTGAACAGAAGATGTTTAAACTAACAACTCCAAACTGACCTCTCTTTCTCCTCTCTCCTTGTAGGGTGCAGCATGTTTACTTTCCTGACATCTGTCACCGCAGCTCTCAGTGGCCTCCTGGTGGGTTATGAACTTGGGCTCATCTCAGGGGCTCTTCTGCAGATCAGAACCCTGCTGGCCCTGACTTGTCATGAACAGGAAATGATTGTGAGCTCCCTGCTTATTGGGGCCTTCCTCGCCTCTCTCACTGGAGGGTTTCTGATAGACAGATATGGACGAAGGATGGCCATCATTGTGTCATCTTGTCTACTCGGACTTGGTAGCTTAGTTTTGATCCTCAGTTTGTCCTACATCATTCTCATCATGGGACGCATTGCCATTGGAGTCTCCATCTCCCTCTCTTCCATTGCTAGCTGTGTATACATTGCTGAGATTGCTCCACCGCACAGAAGAGGCCTCCTTGTGTCACTGAATGAGTTGATGATTGTCATCGGCATTCTTTTTGCCTATATTTCGAATTATGCATTTGCCAATGTCTCCCAGGGCTGGAAGTATATGTTTGGCCTTGTGATTCCTTTGGGAATATTGCAAGCAATCGCAATGTACTTTCTCCCTCCGAGCCCTCGATTTCTGGTGATGAAAGGGCAAGAGGAAGCTGCTAGTAAGGTTCTCGGAAGATTAAGAGCAATCTCAGACACAACTGAAGAGCTCACTGTGATAAAATCTTCCTTGAAAGATGAGTATCAGTATACTTTTTGGGATCTATTTCGGACCAAGGACAATATGAGGACTCGAATAATGATAGGTCTAACACTGGTATTTTTTGTGCAAGTCACTGGACAACCAAACATATTATTTTATGCATCCACTGTTTTGAAGTCTGTTGGTTTTGAAAGTAATGAGGCAGCTAGCTTGGCTTCCACTGGGGTTGGGGTGGTCAAGGTTGTAAGCACCATCCCAGCCACTCTTCTTGTAGACCATGTTGGCAGTAAAACCTTCCTCTGCATTGGTTCATCTGTGATGGCAGCTTCATTGCTAACTCTGGGTATTGTGAATCTTAACATCCGCATGAATTTCACCAACATCTGCAGAAGCCATAGTTCTATTAACCAGTCTTTGGATGAGCCTGTGCTTTATGGAGCAGGAAACTTATCAGCCAGCAACAATATTCTCAGAGAGCACTTTAAAGAAATTACCTCTCACAGCAGGAACTCACTTATACCAACGGAAAATGATATGGATAAGAAAGGGGAGATGACCTCCACATTCTTACCAAATGCTGGACTACACCAAACTGGATACCAGATAGCTACAGACCCTGATGAAGTCCCAGCTTCTTTGAAATGGCTGTCCTTAGCCAGCTTGCTTGTTTATGTTGCTGCTTTTTCAATTGGTCTAGGACCAAGTAAGTACCTTATTCTTTTGCTCTCTTCCTTATCAATTCTACTGTATCATTTTGATCAGAACATTGCACTGCTATAGGGCCTTGTTCCATGTGAGTCCTAGAAGCAAGATGAGAATGATAATGGCCTTCAGATGTTTCTACTAATGTGGAAAATGTGCTTGACCTATATCTGCTTCTGAAAAGAAGAATTTTAGTCTAGCAACCTCCCTGGGCTCATCTTTCTCACACATTAAATAAGAACTAGAATCTAGTTAGTCATTTAACACAATGATCAACTTGTAGTTCTATGACCAAGTTTACATACTTCTCTTGAGCAAAACCTCTTAGAGGTAAATCTGCTAGAGAAGTTGTTTTTTGTAATTTTATAGCCTTTTATCCTCACACTCATAGTCCACACCTTCCTGCAAGATGGTTGGAAGGTCTTTTCTAAACCTATGTTGGAAAAGCATGCTGAAAAAATCAATGACAGTCTTTTTCTAGCACCCTGCCCCTTAACTTCTCCTTCTTTCCCTTTTATTCCTCTCTTTCCTTTCCTCTTCTTGCTCAGGCCCTCCTCTCTATTACAGAATTAATTTGGAAGCTTAACCAGAAGGATCAAGAGGGCAAATAAATTGGCTTAACTAAAGTGAAGTATCGGAGGTTCCAGACAAATATGAAAACAAAGACTGTGTTGAAGAGGGGATCTAGCATGAGGTGCTGGGTAGAGATTCTGGAAAGGTTACATAAGGGCTTGCTCTAGCCTCAGTGCTAACTTATTAACTGTGCATTCAATAGATATGTATCAAATGACTCATTTTTAAATAAACAAGAACTACCCTTATGCTGGGAAAATGGTAATGAACAAGGAAGGCTGTGTTCCTGCATTCAAGAATATGGTGAAATAAATGAGCTACACTCCCTGCAGCAGCTTTATGCTGCTCAGCAGTGGTTAGGATTTGTCAGTTGCCTAATCTCCATTAATTAGTGACTCAACTTACACATGTTGATGTGGCCTCTCTGCCCCCAACCCTATCTTCTTATAGTTCAATTTCCATGCCCGCATCTAAACTATCAGCTGTTAGATATTGATTGTTCAAATTCCATAGATGAGGGGAGACCTAACGGAGCCTGATCTTTGCTAAGCTAAGTCAAGGGTGGCACCTCAGGCTTCATCAGCTGTGGCAAGGTTGACTCATACATTCCAAGATACAGATGACAACAAGCTGGCTGTCCTCTAGCCCTTTGGGTAGATGTAGTTCCCCATAAAAAAAGGTATGGAGGCATAGGTGGAGTGAGTAACTATTCCATCAACCTCTGATTGTTATGGCTTGTTCCCGTACCTTGATCCTACCTATGAAGTCTTAATAATATTTATTATCAATGAAAAAAGTTGATACCATCGTCAGGATCCGAATATCTTGGGTGTTCACCTGTGAGATACTTCTGAGGCTGTGTGATGATTTAATGACATTTGATTAATCATCTTGTTTACATTCTATTTCAAGAAATGATTCATTATCTATCAGAAGAGCAAGGTATGGATACTACCTTTAATTTAGGAACTTGATCTTGTTTGTGAAACTTTTGTATAGAAATAAGTCCAGCAAGTTTTTTTCATTTTATAAACTTCGAGTGTAGTCATCAATCCCTTGATTTCCTTTGCCAGAATCTTTCTCCCCCTCTATGTTCATAACCAAAAAATTTCCTTTGTGTATCAGGTTTCTTTACCTAGTCTTTTGGAACATCAAGACTCTACTAAGACTCTAAGAAAAGGTTAGCAAAAAGAAAGATCTACTCTAGGTTTTAATTCAGAAAAGCATCAGGTTGAAAGAGTTTGGATTATGGCACATATCAAAAAAGGCATTGATTTAGACTTTGTTTTTGTTCCAGGAATCAAACTTAGGACCTTGCAGTTGCCAGGCAGGTGCTTGTGCCACTGAACTATATCCCTGGCCCCATAGATGACATTGATCTAAACTTCCAGAATGAACATATTTATGGTCAGAATACTTTTACCTTCATGCCATCCTTTTTCCTTTAGTTTTTGAAAAATGTAGCAAATCCTTCAGTATATTATATATCACTGATGTCTGATTGTGTTGGAGTTATCCTTTACAGAAAATTGATTTTGGAAATATCTACTGGAGGCTGTTTGTTATTTTCCATTCTTCTAGGATTCCTTAAATAACATTGTCTCTGTTAATTTTCTCTTGTTCTGGGACAAAAATAACAAACACTCAAAATGAAGGAAGGAAAGGTTTATTTAGCTTACAGTTGGTGGAGGTTTCAGTCCATACTGGGCTGGCTCCAAGGCAGAGCGGCATGTGGCAGAGGGCAGCCGTTCATGGCGGCAGGAAACAGTAAAACGGCAAAAGCACAAAGGGAGGAGCAGAGGCAGTGGCTGAGAGCCAGCCCCTTTCTTCCTTATGTTGCACTCAGGCTATAGTGCTGGTGTAGCATTCACACCCATAATTCCAGCACTGGATCTTGAATTAGTCATGAACTCTAGACGTCCACCCCCAACCACTGCATGAGACTTTGGGGGCTACAACTAGGCACAAACCATAACAAACAATATTCTCTAATTATTTTAGAATATAATTTAAGCTTTGAGTGTGAATTGGTGTTTGTGTGCAGTTATTATGTCAAACACAAGAATAAGCAATCTTGTTTTGACCTTAGTTGAACTCTTCATATGTTAGCTTTCCGTTGCTATGACAAAATACCCTGAAATAATCAACTTGAAGGAAAAGAGGTTTCTTTTGGCTCGTACTGTCAGAGATTTCAATCCATGGTCTCTTGACCCTGTTGTACTTTGGCTTATGGTGAGGCAGGACATCATAATGAGAAAGTGTGTGATGTAAGAAACTGTTCACTTCATGGTGGCTGGGAAGCAAAGATGAAGGAAGGAAGGAAGGAAGGAAGGAAGGAAGGAAGGAAGGAAGGAAGGAAGGAAGGAAGGTTTTAGTATCATTTTAAAGGGCAGGTCCGCCCTGACCTAACTTCCTTCCACAGGCTCCACTAGTGCCAGGGCTGGGAACCACACCTTGAGCCATTGGGACTACTCCAGATTTAAAAGTAATTAGTTACTTTTAGTTTAGTTCTCTTCTTGAAGAGATATTAGATATAAGAATGAACAATAGCAGTATATATTTTGTCCATCCATTGTGTCCTTTTAAGTGGGCCATTCTGTGCTTGCTACCAGGTAGAGTTATAGATTCCCTTTTTCCAAAGTTGTTCTGGATAAATCAGTAGATATGTTTTGTAAGGCTGAGTGCTAGGAAAAAGGAAAAGGAGAACAATAAGCTTCTAGTGTCCATTTACTTGAATGACTGAACTCAATTAAGGAAATGTAGAATGCATGAATTGATTAGAAGTCAAGCCCAGCTGATGTGACTGGGACCAAAGTAACAATCTCTTGAGTTACATGTTTGTTTTTCTCTCATTTAACAGTTGGAGATGGCTAGTTCTGGGTGCTAAGGGATGCAACAGAAGCTTGTAATTTCCCCAAACTTTATATTAGCTAGCAATTTAATACTGGTTCCTAATCTATCATGATGACTACTTTAAAATACTAAGATACATTTTTAATGTTGTTATCCTTTACTAGTAGCCAGCAGCCTCTCAAGAATAAGGGCAATGCAGAGGTTGGGGTGATAAAGGCCCAGGTAGTCTATAACAGTGCAAGTAATTGCAACAGCAGCACAACCACTGTGGTGGTGTAGGTAAGGAATTTCATATAGAAATCAGATACCAAATATTTGTGGAAGAATCTGAGGAAGTAAAGGTCCAGAAAGAAATGACTG